GAGTGGCGCACAGCCCGGCCCGTGGAGCGGGAGGGGGTCGGCGTCCGGCGAGACCCCTCAGGAACCGAAGATACTGAGGTTTGGGATCCGAAACATTGGCCGGCGGTCAACGAATATCCCCAATTGTCCTTACTTTTAAACACCCAAGTCGTGTGCCAGCGAGCTGTGTTACTTCAGATCGTCTTTGTCTTTTGGGAGTATCCCAACCTCGGATTAAATATGGCGTTAAAGCTGCACTAATTTGCTTGTGAGTTAGGATCAGGGATTACTTAGCTCTATAAGTGACCTTGTAGCATATATAAAATATCTATAAATCTTGCAATTTAGAGCAGGAAGAACTTTAGCAAGTATTATCAAACATTTTATTCTGTTGATACTTCAGTCATTTATGTATTCTGTCCATACTTTTTCTGTTAACCATATCTTCTACACTAAGCGCATAACTTACACTCTACACTTTCATGTATTTACCTCAAGTTTCACAGTTTTCAAAATGACGGTCTGAATACCGACAGTTTTGGTCGTGACAGGATCGCTGCTGTCAGTACTGCCAAGCGGTCTGCCACACTACTGCCTGCCCTCAGGATTCCATCCTGACCCTCACAGGTGTCTTTGCCTGCCCTCAGGTTTCCATTCTGTCCCTCACTGGTGTCTCAGACTCTGGTCAGAAGGTCTGTGGACCAGAGGGGCTTGGCCGGATGTCTCCACAGGTGGGCTGCTGAGTGCTTGCCCAACAGGCATCTCAGAGTCCCAGGCAAGGATCTTGAAGAGTCAAATGACCAATGCAAGACCAACAAGCCCACTACGTTTGGCCACATTACTGGACTTCTCCATTGTTTACATAATGGTTAGATGAGCACCTAAATTTAGTCAATCTAATTACAATATTTTAAAAAAATCACGGAGTTTTCTTCTTTCTCAGGAGTAGATTTGTTCTTGATTTGTTGATGCAGCAGTACTACAGGCCTCCCTTTCTTTGACAAAGAGCTAGCAAACAGCAGACTTGAGTGACAAGACTCCTCACTTGAGTGAAAGCAAAGTGCAGGTAATCTCTCTGCATACAATTTTGCAGGAATTCCTTCAGAACCCCTGCAGTTGTATAACATGAGGAGAGAACTCCCTCTGACCTTTTTATATTCCTGCTAAAAGATTAATGTGAAAAATCAGGGCTGTCCAATTTGTGCTTAGTAAGTGCAGCATGGGTTATATTATCATAGTTTTATTCAGGGTTGGAAGTCGTTGGAAATAAAAGAAATAAAAGAAAAAGCAAAAATAAGACCTCTGATGGGACAGTTCAACAGACTGAAAGGCGTCATCCTGCAGTTTACATCTGTCCAGTCATGATTTGGATGGCCTACCTTAGATGCTACAGAAAGATTAGAGGAAAAGGGCTGTAACTAATTTTATGTTTTAATTTACAATTCTTAGAACTGCTCTGGTCATGCTACAAAACGAAGGCTGATTTGTTTGTTTTTCAGATCAGCTAAACTGTTAATGAGTGCTGGCAGTGAAGAAGATATAGACGACATTATTGATGAAATCTGTAATGACAGCAGCTTTGCCAAAACACCTCTGGTGAGTAGGAGTCTGGAGAAATGCAGAACGGATGAGGTTCAGCGATGGAAAGAAAAGAACCATAAACTAAATCTGTTTTAAAGCAAAAAATGAACTAAAACAAGCTGTAGGATAAACTTGGAAAATAAAGCAGAAAGGAAAATGCAACAATCCTGTAGTGAGGAACAGGAGAGGTATAAAGAGATGGTCTTATCCAGGTAGTAACAGGCAATTAAAGGAAATGCTAGTGCAAGATAGAGCATAGTGTCAAATATCACAGAATCACGGGATGTTTGAGGTTGGAAGGAGGTCATCTGGTCCAACCACCCGCTCAAGCAGGGCTACCTAGAGCTGGTTGCCCAGGAGCATGTCCAGACGGCTTTTGAGTATCTCCGAGGATGGAGACTCTACAGCCTCTCTAAGTAACCTGTTCCAGTGTTTGACTACCCTCACAAGAAGTAAAGAAGTTTTTTCATATGTTTAACTGGAATTTCTTGTATTTCAATTTGTGCCCATTGCCTCTCCTCCTGTCAGTGGGCCCACTGAGAAGAGTCTGGCTACATCTTCTTTATTCTTGCCGATCATGTATTTTTATAAATTGATACTCTCTTAACCGTTGTCTTCTCCACGCTAAACAATTCCAGCTCTCTTGGCCTCTACCTGTATGTCAGATGGTCGAAGTCCTTAATCGCCTTTATGTCCATGTCTCTTTTCTTCTGGGCCCAGCACTCCAGACATGTCTATGAGGCCATATCTGGAGTACTGTGTCCAGTTACGGGCTCCCCAGTACAAGAGAGAGACGGAGCTACTGGAGAGCCTCCAGCAAAGGGCCATGGAGATGATTAAGAGACTGGAGTATCTTTCATACGAGGAGAGGTTGAGAGAGCTGGGACTGTTCAGCCTGGAGAAGAAAAGGCTCCAGGGTGATCTTACCAATGTGTGTGAATACCGGTGGGTGGAATAAAGAAGGGGCCAGACTCTCCTCTGTAGTGCCCAGTGACAGGACAAAACAAAACGCAATGGGCACAAACTGAAGCACATGAAATTCCATCTGTACACAAGAAAACACTTTTTTACTGCAAGGGTGATCAAACACTGGGACAGGCTGCCCAGAGATTGTGGAGTCTCCATCTCTGGAGATTTTCAAAACCCAACTGGACACAGTCCTGGGCAAGCTGCTGAAGCTGACCCTGCTTTGAGCAGGGGGATTGGCCTAGGTGGTCTCAAGAGGTCCCTTCCAACCGAAATGATTCTGTCTCACCAGTGCTGAGTAGAGAGGAAGGATCACCTCCCTCGACCTGCTGGCAATGTCCCTTCTAATGTAGCCCAGGATGCTGTTGGCCTTCTGTGCTGCAAGGGGACACTGCTGGCTCATAGTCAACTTACCATTGACCAAATTTCTCACGGCCTTCTCCGCAAAGCTGCTTTCCAGCTGGTCAGCCCTCAGTGTGTTCTGGTGCATGAGGGTTATTCCTCCCCAGGGGCGGGAATTTGCATTTCTCCTTAGCTGAACTTCAAGAGATTCCTCTCAGCCTGTTTCTGCAGTCTGTTGAGGTCCCTCTGCATGGCAGCGCAGGCCTCTGGCATGCCAACCACTGCTCCCCATTTTGTATCATCTGCAAATGACTTCTATTGTTTGACAGCAGGAGATGGAGATGAAGCCTCAAATTTACATTGTCAAGACAGTCACAGTGATAGAAGACATTGAAAATAGATATTCATTTAGGTATCATCAGTAGAAAATTGTGTTATTTATACTTCATAACCCCTGTGTAGATTCTTTTATTTTCATGAGTGACGTTGGTTTTGCTTTCTTTGTCACAGAGTGGCTAAATCTGAACCAACAAAAAACATTTGTATATCATAATATGTATGTCTGAGTGAGAGAGAATTATATAGGTAAATTTGTATAACTTTATCATTTTAAATCCCTAGGACTTCTAGTATTCTAGAATTCAAATAAACTGTTTTATGCACAGCAAATAAGAAACTTTTCAAATATACTTTATCTTTTTTAATAATATAAGTCCTTGATGTGTTTTCAGTAAAACAAAAGCTCAAAAACCTTGAGGGAGAAGGTTCCTAAATTAAAACTATTTTTAACAGCAAAATTATTAGAAAGAGGGCATGAAATACTAAGTCTTGATTGTAAAGTCAAAGTGATCATGTGGTGTTGAATTCCTTCAGGCAGAGCTGGGAATACAGTATGGGAAGAGAAGCCTTCCTCATTTATCTGTTACTTCAGCAGCTTTTGTCTCAAAGAGCCTCGCAGGAACCTGAGCAAGAAAATTCCCAAATTCTCAGTCCCCTTCTTCTGTGACTGAGATTTTCTGGCTCCTGCTTATTAAGTAAAACAGAATATTGTTACCTTGCTGTAATGCTGCCTTTTATTCTTTGCTTTTTAAATAGAAATTGAAGTCTAACTCTGCAAGTCTCACACCTGAAAGCAATAGTGCTGTTGTACCAGCTCATAGGAAAATGTAAGTGAAAAATGTTTTGGCTAGTTGAACATAGCTTGATTATAGCTTGTTGTCAGTCTAATGATATTGCTACTGTTTAATCTGTGTTGACATTAGCTAAGAAAGAAACTGAGTATTTAGAGAAGCATTCTTTTTAAAGAAAAACAAAGATAATCAGAAATAATTTTGAAGAATTACTAATGTGCTTTCATGTGGTCAAAATTATTTATTATAAATTTATTAATTATTTAAGTTACTGAACAATAGCTTCCTTTGTCTTATGGACATATACATTTATCAAATGCTGCAATATACAGTCCCATGTATATTTGGTATAGAGAGTGGTTGTCGTAGAGTTTTTCTTTGAACACCTTGGTAATGGAAATTTTAAAATTCTATAGTTTGTAAGCATTTGGATGCTTTGCCTATATTTAATAAATATTATTTTAGAAATACCATGCTGTTAAACTAGGAGAAGCATTGTACTACTTTCTCCAAAATGTTTTGCTATAATTTAATATTTTTTAATTAAATCCATATAGATGCTGTCCAGTGTACCTGGGTGGAAGCTCTTCACCATATGGCATAGGAACGAACATTTCAAAAAGGTAGGAAATGTGAAAAAAAAAGTTCTACTTGCTTTAGCATTATTTTTATTCACAACTGTGTTTCTGCGGTGGTACAGAGTTCTGCGTTTGAACTGGACAGGACAGCCCTATATTCATCTAAACATGTGGCTGCCTGTAACTGCAGTTGAAGTCAGCTAGTCCCTTCCAGTCCTCTCTTGTTGACCACTAGATCTTTTGTTCGTTTGAGGAGTTGAAAGATGTGTGCAAATGAGACATGAGACTCCAAAAGTCAGTAACATGTAGTTAAGGAAATTGCTGCTGTAGAGTATTGTTATTTTTCCCTGCCTCTCTTCAGCTTTCTATGTGATGCCAAGTATGTGACTTAAATCAGTGAGCTGGTTTAAATCATCCCAGAGCCTGAACTGAAAATAGCCAGAGTGCTTTGCAACTGCAGCTGAACTTAGTAGGAGAGGTACTTTAAAGATTTATCCCCAACATCCTATAAACATTATTGCATTTCCATATGGGATTTTTTGTAGTAAGTAATTATGCACTTGATGCATATTTGGATGCTGGTCAGGTGCCATACTAGTGAGGAAGACCAAAGAGAATATATCAAGAGAATATCAGTTTATTTTATATGTTCAGTGAGGTTAGGAACCTGTAAAAATAACACATGATCATAGAGTTAAAACACATACCACAATGAATGTGCTAGAGATGTAAAAAAATTAAGATTACAGGGTAACCTTCTAGTATTTCTGAGTGAGCGCTGTACTTTAAAACAGTTATGATCTGTGTAGCTTCTCTGATTGTAATAAACTTGGAGCTTTCTGTTCTTTTTTGACCAGAACTTGTGATCAACTACGTTGTACTGCTTGCGACTTCCGTGTGTCATTTTTCAATGACTACATCTGGGATCATTCCTGTGATTATCTTTTTTTCAGGTATGTCTGAGGTGGGTTTGGTATTAGTATTGTGTTACTGTGCTTTGGGGCTTGATAGGAACAGGAAAGATGAAAAGTCATGAGCACTCTTGTGTTACCTAAAAAGGAGCATGTGTGCAACCTGTTCGGTGATCAGCTGGGAAAGTCTGCAGGGAGAAGGATGCAACATCTCCCATAATCTGTTTTCATGCCTTTCCACTTTTTCCCCCATCACTGTCCCTCTCTGCTTTTAAAAAGAATTCAAGTTTCATGGATCAAAAGGCAACTGAAATAAGCAGATAGTCTGTGTGATGGGTTGGCCTCTGGTGTGCCGTTGCAGGATGCCTACAAAATAAATGCAGGCTGTTCAGCATGTACTTCTCACCATACCTACAGGCTGTGAATGTTTCAAGTCAGATTTTCTGTTTTCCAGTATCAAGTATTATGCTGTCATGTTCAGTGAAAATCAAATAGCTTGTTTTCTTAACAGACTTCTTTTTGAAGCAAGGTTTGATTAAATGGAGGGGTGGGATTTTTGTTTTCTTGTTGTATTGTGATGTCTTTGACTTTAATTATTTCCATTTTTTTTAAGACTTAAAATTAAGGAGCTCTTATTTCCAGTTTCTCTAAAACTGTATCTAATGCCAAGACTTAGTGAAGGGTAGTGTAGTAGGCATGCTCCTAATACAGACATCGAGTTTGAATTCCTCTTATTTTACTGTATGTGCCCATTAACTGGGGGAGGTAGCGGATGCGTTCAGAGTATGTGTTTGGCCACCAGCGGGTGAGACAGCTGGAGTAAAACAGTAATGGATACATCATCTCCTTTTCCATTATTTTTCTTGTATTACTTGTTAGGTTTTTCCTGTATTTTCCCTCCCATTTCAAAATCTGTATTTCTCTTTGAATGAAAATCTTATTTTCCCATCATTTAAAGCAGCATTAAAAATACAGTGCTGCACTAGTCTCCTGAGATGAATTTGGTAGCTGGAAAGGTTAAATAAAAATATGATTCTTTTATTTACTCAAAGTCTCAATTATTCTGCTTCTGAGATCTTGAAATTAAATAAATTTTTTAAAAAGGCATGGAAGGCATTAGTATCAGATACTTGTAACATTGATTAAAATCTGTAGTCTTTAGCAAGATATTTAGCTATTTATTTTGACTAACCTGAATTTTAAAAATCAACCTTGAAGATTAAACATTTGCTTTCCATGAATAGGTGTCTGACCTCTTTTCTAAAAAAGAGGTCAAACATCTTCCTTTGATGTTCGTTCGGGGTTTTCTTTATTTGACTGGGCTTGTTAATGCTGTTTTTGAGCAATTCAGTGGCCAGTAATTGATGGCCAGGAGGAGCTCATGAGAGCAGGGATAGTTGAAATGCTGAATTTTCACTTGTTTTTTGAAACAACTTGTTTTTGTAATAGCCCTGCTGATTTTTATTTGTTGTGGTTGATGCTTGCACAGGAATTATTTGTGGTTTGATGTACATTCTTCTCTCTGATGACCATTTCATTTCAGTCACTTCAACAACCATCCTGAGTAACATTTCGCGATGAAAAGTTTATCTCTGTAGTTGTACCCATTCTGCATGGGGATTTTTACAGTAAGTTTGATAAGATAAATACATTTTTGGATAATTTCTTAACACGAGAATTGACTCTACCTGGTTTTCTTCCCAACTCTTTCTCTGGAGGCTAACACAGGGTCATTGCTGACAAAAACATCAACCTCCAGTTGATCTGAGAATATAGCAACTACGCACCAAGACTGCTGTCAGGAAAGGGTTGTGTTCAAAACAGAATTTAAACGTATACCTAAATTAATTCATAACAGCGGTACTCAGAAATGTTCTTAAGAGCTTTTCTGAATTGAAATGCCCTCATGAATCTTTTTTCTTTAAAAAAAAACAACAACGCATGATCCTAAACTGAATTCACTTGATTGGCAGGAATAACATGCCTGAGCTCAGTAAACTACGAGTGAAGATGATAAAGAAGAAAGGAGCACGAGCATATGCTTGTCAGTGCAGCTGGAGATCCATTGATGAATTAACTGACCTCCAAACAGACCAGCAGCTTCGGTGGGTTTGTGGTAAACATGCAGAATGAAGTTCCTCTTGTGTGTGGTACCTACTTGTGTGGAAACAGGTCATAAACTCAGTTTGTTTCCCACGCAGCTTTCTAAGAACAGATGGAAACCTGAATACTTATATCTAGAAATAGATTATAACACCCAGACTTCAACCTGAAAACTTTTTCTCAATTTAACTGTCTTGCAAGCAATATGGGGAGTTGAATTATTAGAAGAAACAACCAATTTGGAGGCTTTCTGGAAACTAAATGAGGTTAAAGCTCATACTCAGTAGTGTTAAAAGAAAGGAAGAGAAATCGACAGATTTAGGCATGGGGCAAAGCACCTTGAGACTGTTCCTCATGTCTAGCAGAGAGCCTTGTTTCCCATGTCTGCAAAATCTTGGACTCAAAATGGTGGGTTGGGATGCAGCCATGACACACAAGCATATGAATTTCTGCATGGAAATTAATATTGCTGTTCTGCTTTGCTCATAGCTGTTAATGAGCAAGTGGTTGTAGATCTCTTAAAAAATTACTGCGAGATCAGCTCTCACCTCGAAGGTTTCGGCACACCCCGAAACTTTACTTTCTTTTACCCACCAGTAGCCAAAAACTGCAGGTGCTGGAAATTTCCTTCCAGTTCCTACTGCTTTCTTCAAAGCACTTTCTGCTGACTAAAGGCTTTTACCACAGTGAATTTCTTGGGGTTCCCTTCAGCCTTCACTGCAAAAGGTGAACAAGTTATTGTACAATTATTAAATATTGTGCAATTTTAAAGACATTCTGAAGAGTATATGACGCTTCTATAAATATTTTCAAGGGAAAAAAGGCTCAGGCTTTTAAGAGTGAGAAAATATATATCCCTACTGACAGTCAAATTTGGATTTTTTTCAGTTTCACTGAGCTTTCACTTCGGCTTCACTTAAAATACTACATATTCAGAAAGTGTAACTGTCCTGTTTCAGCATACTCCCTTCCCCCAGTAACATCGTAAAACTACTTCCAGTATCATGTTACTTGGTGAATTGTCTTGATTACAGTTAATGTCACTGTAGTTTATGAGCTCTTTCTTTTCATTATATATAAATAACACAGGAGATGGATTTGGGTTTTGGGTGGGCAAGAGGAAGGAAAGGATTACTAGTCCTGGCAATTACTACATTGAAAAGTGTCTCAAAATGGGAAGTCTGTCAGTATTTTTGCTATGTAGTATGAGATACTGTACAGATAAATTCAAAATTACTTACTTTGTGCAATTCTATCTATACAGAGCCATGTCTTTTTTTGTGAAGTTTTGCTCACAGCCCTAATCTGTGCATTGTCAATCTGTTCTTTTTCTGAGCTTATCCAAAACAATTGCATGGTCTTTCTTATAGAGGTCATCTCTCAAATCTGTCGCTTTGTCTGTACCCCTCTGAAAGAGCAGATCCCGGTAGCGACCAGAGGCATAATGTACTCTGCACCCTGCTCACCTTCCCCATCCGTGAGTGTTTTTTTAGAACCTGCACAGGACCAGCAGGTGCCTGGGAGGCCTGGCAGTGCTTACGTACGCAGTGCTTCAGTGCTCTAGAGTGTGTGTTCCAGTGCCACATGCGGCCCTGCTAGTAGGTTCAGAGGTGAGTTGGCTTTGGAGAGGTATTGCTTGGCATAATGATATAGACATATTTAGGATCATGTGTTGTTTTCAATGTAATTGGTGTTTCAGGCTGAAGTTTCAACTGCTAGAGTCTAAAACTGCAGGTTCAGGAGACAGAGAGACCCAGAGACCAGTTGATTAATGCTCAGTCAGGTACTGGAAGAGGTCTGCTTGCCTTTCTGTCCTTTGTGAAGAGATAGCCCCCGTGTGGACTGTAAGCATTAAGTGTTCCTGGGTTTTCTTCAGGTGGGCCTGAGCGATTTCCATTCCCAGAGAACATCAGTGCTAATGGTAAGAGAAGAACCCAGCAGTAGTGTGTAATTTATTAACAAGCTCTAGAGAAGAAGAAACCTACTTTCCATTCTTCTTCTTGAAGAAGAATGCATTTCAAAAAGCGCTGAGTTGCCTCGGCTTACCTGTTCCAAGGCCATTTGAAACTGATCACCAAGTAGCCCCACAGGATGCTCTTTTGGACTGGATTTGCACTGGAATTTGTGCCGCAATGTAGGGAACAAGTTAGGCTTGCAACTTGTGAGCAGAAAACGGGGAAAATCCTAATACCCATCTCAGTTCATGAGACCAAGTCTTATGTGACTTGGAAAAGGAGCATGTCTCCTGTACCCTGTTTTAAACAAACCAACAGAAATAGTAACCCCCTCTGGATCAGTTTGCACTACCAAGTATGTGGAGCAAATCGTGCGGAAACAAAAGTTGAAGACATCCATTCTAGTGATTTTTATGACAAGAAAACAGCCTGCAGCACTTGAAAAGTGGAGGCTAGGAAGGAATTGAGACAAAAGGACTAAGAGTGTAGGGGAAGTAAAAAAGATTAACACCAATATCTATTGACAACATTAGTCAGCATTTCTCCTAAGGCACCTCATCCCTCAGTCTTCTGTTAGCCTGAAGAGTTGTAGAAAGAGAGTTCTCTTTCTGGATAGAGGTTGTTGTCAGGTGATTGTATCACTAATGCCATTAAGACTGCACTCCAAGCACTGAAAACATTAGAAGAGAATCTTAATTGGTAAATGTAAGTGGAAACCTGGGCATTTCCTTGAAATCATCATGTTTATTCAAGTGGAGTTACTTGTTTCTGACCTTGGTCAGAATGGTGGGATATGACAGCTCTTTGTCCAAGTGAAGTTTTAAACATGTGCAGAAATAGTGCTTATTGTATTGGTTTTCGTTACAGACTTTAGCATATTTCTAGATCTGAGAATAGTTACTATGTCATTAAATACAATTATTTGTTGGAAAGAGGAGTGGTATTAAGTATTTGATTTCCCTTCCTGTGCTTTCTTCAGTTACATGTTACAAACCACTCCACAGTCCTCAAATGAAAAAAATGTAAAGAAAGGTAAAATTGGAGCTTGAAGGTTCATTTGATGAAGGTATTGTAAGATTGCACAAGGTTTTCAAGATGTAGCCCAGACCCTAAGTGATATTTCCGTGTCGGTTATCTGAGATAGCAGGGATTATGTAAAGAATTTTGTTTAAGAATGCCATTCAGCTGTTGTCAAACGGAAGTAATGGAGAGCAGTTTTGCTAAGTATAAATGTGACCATTGTTTTCCTCCAGTTTTTTGCTGTTTGTGAAATGGGCAAGGTGAAAACTTGAGACTTTCATTTTGCTTGGGTGATATGCTTGGAAATTTTCTAGCCTGCAGCATTAGTCTGCAGCAGATCCCTCAAAGAAACAAAAGCCATGAAGGATGACAAAATGAGAATCCACGCAAAAGCATTCACTTGGAAATGTAGTCAGTGGTTTAATGTTATACCAGCTTTTCTAAATCTGTGTTCCTGCAGTACTTCTGGATAGGAATCCAGATACGTCAATTCTGATGTACATAGTACATTTTGATAGCTTTTCTTTATCAAATTTTAATGTGCTGTTCTAATTATATCTCACTTGTTTTACCTGCAAACTGTGGAGGATGTCCAACCCAGATGCTGATTATAGCTCAGAAGAGTAATTATTAAGGATCTTGCCCTGCCATAAAATTTAACTTACAGAAGCATAATAGGATTACATATTGCAAGCTCTGCATTGTATAAAATTGAATAAAGATTTTGTTTTTCTGAATGCCCATTTCAGTTTTGTACTGAAGGTATTCTGCAAATGCTGGGCACTGGAAGCTGCCACTTGTTGAAAGACGGATCACTTCTCTTGTTTCCTGACATGTTGGTCATCGGGTCATGTAACCAGCACATGTGGTAGTCACACAATAGGGGAGGGACTGTGTTGGGAGATGCGCAGGCAAATTTTCCTTCCTGCCAGGCTCTTTTTTGCTCAAGACCTGACCAGTTTTGTCTGTTGTGTGAGACCTGGTAACTGCAGACAGGCCAGCCTGAAAGGGGATAGAGTAAAGGAGTGTCAGGTGCTGCTCATTTGTGAGGGCCACATATGATGCCTGGGACTTGGCATGTGTGCTTCGAGGAAAGTATTTTTTCAAATGTTGACACTTCAATAAAATAAAGAGTTGGGACAAATCTGAATTGTGTGTTGTGTAAATTCTATTGTGTTGCTCCTATCCAAGAGAAGCCTTATGAAAGTTACGTTGGACCATGTTTTCTCTGTCAGAACGGTTATGAAATGCCCTTAATACAAAAACGTTGTCCAGCTCGTAAGAAACAGTAAGTACCTGGATGTGTTCTCACATCAGTGGAGATGCAGCAAATACCTGAGAAGTAAATGAGCTTTAACATTCTTTACCAGGTAACGTGAGGAAAGCACATTAAGTAAGAGCTCATAAAGGTGGGTGCATTTACCACATTTCTCGGGTGTTTACCTAGGATAAAGATGGAGCCAGTTGCTGTGGAGGTGGCATATAGCTAAATATCTTGCAGAGTGGGATGCTGGTACCTTTGTGTATCAGTCAAGGCAGGTAATCACAAGCTTCATACTGGTGACTTAAAAGAGGGAGATCAATCAGGGAATCGCAGCATTTGCTGTCCCCTAGATCTCACTGTAGAAAACAGTTCTTAATACCAGGAAGAGGTTGCTCTATGTATGGGAGTTGGAACAAATCTTGTTTCTCCATCATGAAGAAATGCTGCGTGGCATACATTAAAGTCACAGACATAAATATTTCCTATACTCCATTCTGAATTTGGACTCCACGCGTTGGTGCTATTCAGGCAGTAATTACTTCCCAGACTGGGTGGGCAGCGTGGACTCGGTGAGAACACACAGAAAACACCCACTGCCTCGGGAGCCCTCCTGTCTGACTTACCTTACATAGGACTTGCGGTGCCACAGTGCACTGTTAGAAGGTAGTGCCCATGTATGTTTAATTCACATTGACAACTTTCATTCTGTTGTGTTAGATGTGCTTTAAAAGTATGTAATTTGGGGTAAAATGTGATTATACGATCTAGTCTGCAGAGGGCAGAGCAACACC